CGCCAAAACTTTCACTTCATTGTAAGTGAGACATCGTCACACTTGGGAGTAAGGTTTGAGTTTGCTGGGTTCCTGCATAAGCAGAAAACACCCTCTTGAAGTTTTCAGCCGCTAGCTTTTCTCCCTCCCGACATAATAGTTTCCTCACCAAAACTTTCATAGGATCGTACGCGGGACACAGGCTTAAATGAAAGCTAAATTCGGATTTATGCAGTTATACGTGAGCAAAGGACATACCCTAAAATTTCAACCTCCTAGTTTTCGTGGTTTCTGAGAGAGTAGTTTCCTCAACCAAAAATTCCATGAGGCCGTACATGGTGTCCAAGCGAACAGGAAAGCTAGAATTTAAAACTCGGCGTCGCAAATATGCAGGGGACATTGCTATAAAATTTTAGCCCTCTAGGTTTCGTAGTTCCTGAAACAGTCAGTTTTCCCACCAAAACTTTCGTGGGGCCGGGCCATACACGTGGGAGGGCTTATTTAAATTTGGTGAGTTGTGGGAAGACAGGAGACATTGCTTTAACATTTCAGCTTTCCAACTTCCGTGGTTCCCGAGATAACAATTTTCCCCATTAAATTTTTTGCGAGGCCGTACTTATTTCCCAGCGGTATGTGAAGAATGAATTCAAATTTGAGGAGTCGCAAGTGGGCAGGGAATATTCTAATAAAATATCAATTTCCCAGCTTTCGTGGTTCCCTAAATAATGGTCTTTCCCGCCAAATCTTTCGCAGGGTCGTATGCAGTAACCGGGGTAAATGAGGGCTGAATTTAAGTTTGTAAGGGCCGCACATGGGGCGGGGAACATTGCATTAAAATTCCAACTTCCTAGTCCTCTGGTTCCCGAGTTGAAATTCTTGGATAAAATGCACTCGGAACACACGCAAACACACACACACACACAAGGTCTCGACAAAAGGCGTTTTGTGCAACTGTTGCAGCACAAAAAACACATAAAAATGTAATACAGACAGCGGGGAACATACCTCCTGAGCTGGTGCCTTCCCTAACTCCTGTCAAATTTTTATATCTTTTTTCGTGAATATTTGCCCTTTTCCGGAACCGTCTTTTTATTTTCCGATGCTTTTCCGATATGATTGATTTGAACGCTTTGAGCCGTTCCTTTAATTACATTATACCTGGATTTCCTTTCGTTTAGTTGAATTTCGCGCATTTTTTCAGAATTCCACCTTCTGGCTTAAGCCTGCGCCCATGTTGGTTGGATCTTATGCCGTTCTGCCACGATCTCTTCCTATGCATACAATTTTTTGAGTTTTTCTCTTCTCTGTGAATGTGTTGCCTGCAGTGCAAAAGGAGAGAATGTGCTGACGCGTTTTCCGATCCTTAAGTTAATGGCACAGAACAAAGAATAAATGCGTGTCGGGTAATGGGGATGCTTCAGTGACAAGGGTGATTGGGGCAGTTGTCACGTCATTTATTTTTAAAACTTCGTATTTTTCAAAATACTTTCTGTTTGGCAGTCAGAACAATCTGGTTGTCCTACTTCTCCAGTGCAGGTTGTTGCTTCCTAATGAAATCCAGGAGTCTGACCTACCGAAACATTCGAAGAAACACTGAAGATTTTTTTGTGAAAGTATCTCTCCTGCTCTCACTGCCTCATTCACGATGCAGGTAAGAACGCGTTCTTCTGGATTTGCTTGTTCAACTGTCAGCATTGTCTCTAGTCGCTGTTTTCTCTGTGCAAAAGGGAGATGAGAAGAGGTAGCTTCAAGCCGAGGTGGCAGCTATTTTTGAGTAGCTGCAGCTTGAACACATCCTGTGATTCCAGCTAAATTGTGGAGTTGGTGGAGGAGAGAGTTCTGATAAACATTAGAGATCCAGAACGAAGCGTGGGAAGTTGAGAGCAAGCTTGAGCTCCTTTCCATTCGGCAACTTGCAGCTGCGCCCTTGGCGGTTGGCAGCCTGTGGTGTGCCTGCAGAAGTGTGCGCCTCATGGCGCCTTTTCTGGCATATTTATGTTCTTTTTTCACTTTGTTCATTTCATGTTAGCGCATGACTCGGCTGGGTCTTGCGTGGCCGTCACTTTCGGAATTGTCTGGATTTTCGTGCAAAAAATACGATTTTCTACAAAGCAATGAAGTGCTGTGGAAGGTGGCAGGCAGTTTGGAAAGGATGGGCTTGGCTCGGTTGGACTTGGCATATGACAGCTACATCGAATACACCAAAGAGGCGTCAGGATGATCTTAAAACTGGAAAGCTGGAAGAGGAATTCTTGTACCCATAAAAAAGAACCCGTTGTTCAGAAGCTGTAATAAAATAAATTGTCGTAATAAACTGTGAGGTTACTATATAAATTTTACTGCTTTCGTAATCGCTGTGAACCGTTCGACTATTCTTTCGATCCCATATCTCGCTAAGTTTTGCGTATCAATATCAGAAACGTTCCTCAATTTGTTTTTGAAAGTGTTGCACTGTTGTAACAAGATCTGGATATTGAATGCTTACGGATAAGATAGCAGCTGCGTTTCTCTTCCTTCCAGAAAGTTGCTGCAAAATCGATGTTGTTATTCTAAATAACAGTTGTTTTAAAATTTTAGTAGTCAACGCTATGTGGACTTCTTTTCCACATAAACAGTGCCCTATAATTTGGAAAAAGCAATGTTTTTGAAATTTTTTGTTCAGTTACATGAAAATTTTATGCAAATTTCTGGCTCGACCCGTAATTAATTTATGTCACTTTTTGGCTAGAGTTTTGACGAGAAATAAAAGAAAAAGATCTAAAAAAGTGAGTCGTATCGCTCCGCCGCAATATCTATCACTTACTGAGTGACTGGATGGTAAAGATGCAGGAAGCTTTGCCAAGCAAAAATCTTGCGTAAAGCACTTTTTAAAAAATTTGTGATTTAACCAGCTTTAAAGAACCATTTTCTGTTGCTACAACTTATGAGTAAGTTATGATAACTGGGTACACATCATCGAAAGTTGGCTATAGCTAGGAAGGAGATAAAAGAGGACGCTGCTGAAATCAATTACACTACTTCGCGTAATCACAATCACTCGAGTGAGGGTATAGCAC